AGCCAACAGACAAAATTTAAATCAATTTTCGGTTTTACTCAAAATTTGGCTATTTTTGAAAAGAAGGAACTGGTGGTGAAAAGGTTAAATAAAAAACATCAAAGAACACAGAAATGTGCAACTGAAAATTATCTTACATCCATTCTAAAAATTATTTGAACAATATGACTTGCAACTCAGCAAAACATTTTGATTGTTGTCCAAACTAGACTTGACCGCGCCCATCCAGCAACACATGCATAGTTTAGATCATTCCATTATTATTATGGGGGGTATGCAAGATGAGGGTGAAATGCAGATTTCTTCTGAAGATATAATACTATATATGGTCAAGCGGTTTACTGTCTATGTCCAGATGTCCTCCAAATAACGTTTCTCTTCTCGTATATTTTTCAGAACCGACTCAGCATCCTCTGTTTTTATATGTAAATAATCTGCTATGATCTGTGTCCACGTTTCTTTGACATCCTTCGCCATATGCTTTGCATCACTACAATAAACAAGAACGAGATCACATTATAATGACAGTTTTTACCAAAAACAATATAAATCATAATAATTTCATATTTTTGATTCCCAAATATTCATTAAATCGTAACTGCAAAATAACCAATAAGTTTTCTCTATGGCAATTCATTACTACGGTAATAGATCACTGTACTAGTTTTCATGAATATTTATATATGTAAATGAGATATCCTCTTCCAAGGAACTGATTAATAACCGATAAGTTTTCTCTATGGCAATTCATTACTTCATTCATTATTAATAGGTCACTGAACTAGTTTCCATGAATATTTATATATGTAAATGAGATATCCTCTTCCAAGGAACTGCTAAATAAGCGATAAGTTTTCTCTATGGCAATTCATGATTCATTCATTATTAATAGGTCACTGAACTAGTTTCCATGAAAGTTGCCATTGTTTCCGCCTTGGAACTAGAGAACCCCTTGGTATTAACAAACAGTTCAACTCATTTGTTGAGCTCACTACCTAAGGCGCGTTATTTGTTCTATTGTGGAATTTTTTGTGATTCTAACTTATAGTTCATGCGCGTTCTTACGTTCCTATGTTCTACCTGTACGTTATCACACTTGCTTCTATGCTATCGATAAAGAGCCATTGCTCGAAACGTCTAGCTATTTTTAATAGTTATTTAGGACTACGATTACCAAATATTATCTTCAATATATCATAGTTTCCATGAAAGTTGCCATGAATATTTATATATGTAAATGAGATATCCTCTTCCAAGGAACTGCTAAATAATCGATAAGTTTTCTCTATGGCAATTCATTACTTCATTCATTATTAATAGGTCACTGAACTAGTTTCCATGAAAGTTGCCATGAATATTTATATATGTAAATGAGATATCCTCTTCCAAGGAACTGCTAAATAATCGATAAGTTTTCTCTATGGAATTCATTACTTCATTCATTATTAATAGGTCACTGAACTAGTTTCCATGAAAGTTTCCATGAATATTTATATATGTAAATGAGATATCCTCTTCCAAGGAACTGCTAAATAATCGATAAGTTTTCTCTATGACAATTCATTACTTCATTCATTACTAATAAGTCACTGAACTAGTTTCCATGGAGGTTTTTAAATCATCCCTGAATTATCATAGTCATTCATGAAAATTTGTCGCAAGTTGATAGTGTGCTGGCTTATCCCATATCAAATATGGTGCCTTGGATGCGCTACTATTGTGGATGCACCTCAACTATAGATACATCTTGACTGTAGATGTACCTCTATAATGAATGCTCCTCGACTGTAGATGCACTTAGTCTTATAAGTCCTTGATTAAACTTACAGTAGACCATTTAATTTTCATGAAGACAGAATTTTGCAAAAGTGACGGACAGTCTGTGTTGGTGGATACCAGAAATATTATTCACAAAATTTGCAGAATTGTGAAATTAATGTGATTTATAGTACTTACCCACAAACATAAACAACAGCTTTTTTCTCAATAACTAGCTGAGCTAATTCTTGACGGTGTATTCTCATTAAATCCTGAACATAACGCGGTTCATCCTCTGTTCTATCACGTGAGAAACACACACACAGTCGAGACAAGGTACCATTGTCTACAAACTCTGACAAGTCAGTCCTGAAATGAATATTTATATATGTAAATAAGATATCCTCTTCCAAGGAATTATTTTTTTCTGGAGATTTGTTTTGGAATTAAGTAAATAAAAGATGATGGGAATACTGCAAAGTATGCCTGAAGTACTAGTATGGGATCGTATACGTGAAGGACAATATCCTATGCTGCCAGAGATTATAACTTCACCTTTTTCCAGACATTGAATGTCACTGTTGTCTCTCCTGACTTTTTTTTTTGTGTGCAAAGTGCTAGTGCTTACACAAAGTGCATTTTTGCCACAGAAGTCATATTCATGTTTTGGGACTACATGACAGGACTGTACGGCCATCTCTCTATCAAATGTCAATTTTAATGTGCTATCCTGGCGTCCACCAGGCTCAGTCGTCACAAGCACCTGAAGACTTTAACCAAGGTTTCCCCCAAAGTCGCATTCGTTAGTGAATGAATCTCGGCCAGTGGAATAGGCCTACCCTCACCCGGGGTAGAGGTCGACCCGTTTGATGTTCAACCTAAGGTAGGATTTGAACTTGGGTCTACCGGTCGACACCCACTAGGTTACCAGTGATCGATTCAACTTCAATCCTCTGCATCCCAGTGGGACATAAAGCTGATGCAGAAACTTCCAGAGGGCATACTATGCGGTTACCGCAAAAATACCACATAGGCAGTACAGTGATCACATCACCCAATTCCAACAAATAGTGACAAATTTACAGTGGGTTACCATTCTTAAATGTTTCTTCAAAAAAATAATTCATACCTGAAAATGTGATCCTTGTTTCTATGACGACAGCCAAACAACAGCCATGTTTGCCCGAATTCTTCAGTTGGCGTCTGTTGTCGTTGGTACTGACGATGCTGTAGAAATCCTCTGAATGGAGCGACTCCCGTACCAGGACCAATCATGATGATAGGAGTTGTGACGTCACTCGGCAGATGGAAATATTGATTGGTACGCGAAAATATCGGTATCTGGAAAAATTAGGAAAATATTAGAAAGGGTGCATGTGTGACAATTTATTGCAAAATGAATAAATTTTGAATATTTGCATTAATGAGTAGGCTTGTACCTTAAAGGGCGGCAGTCACTGTGCTGCACCCTGTTCGATACGGGACTCATAGCGACCGATACAACGCGTGTAAAATACATTGTTTATTTACATGAAATTCAAACACGCGCTGCGCGACGAACACCACACTTTAATGACATTTTTCTATTCTCACCTGTATTTTGTCCTCAACTTTCGTATCGTCTTGTAAATGAGATGTTAATCTATTCAACCACCCTGTACACACGCCACGTCTTTCGCAATGTCTGTCGTCTCCTGCAGGTATCTCAACAATGTTGAAGGCAAACTCCAAACACCCAGGGACTGCAAGTGGAGAACTGTAAAAAAATAACATTACATTAGAGAATTAAAATTTTGTTATTGCAGCTCTTGTTATGCTGATTGGTCAGAACATGGTCATGTGACAGTGAATAAAAGTCAATACTGTAGAATACTTTATTTTCGCTTGGAATTTATTTTCGCTATTTTCGCTGAAGGGATGTTTCCGTCAAAAAATTATATTCATCGAATATACTTTTTTTCCTATATTTCACATTAAACTCATCAAAAATCAGTGAAAATAATTCCACACAAAACGCTCAAAAAGCCTCTCCAGCGAAAATTAATTCCAACAAAAATAAAGTATTCCACAGTACAAAACATACTCTGAGCAGAAAACAAACATTTCTCCATTCTACCTTACATCGGTCACTTTAAAAAACAAATGTGCATTAAAAATCCACTGACAACCAACTCTTTTATAATTGTGCATACACAGTTATAATGTTTATGAAATAAAATGTCATCTGCTACAGACACAGACGTTCAATTTTTGTTTATTTATTTAGAATAATAAAATATACAGCTACTATAGAGGAGGTCAATATTCAGTTATTGAAATTGAATATTGACCTCCACAGTAGTAAATGTGTCCTACATTGAAATTGAATATTGACCTCCACAGTAGTAAATGTGCCCTACATTGTATTGCGTGGAAAGTTGATTAGAATGTATCTGGTTAAATGTCTAACATAAGGCATGGCCCGAGAAACAAAAAAACAACACTGAATACCTTGCAGCAGAGTATGGCCTTGGCTGTAACCGTGGTAACAACTCAAACAGTCTTTCTATTGGTGGATTACACGATGGGAATGCAACTAATATATCAGTAATAGACAGACTGCAACATCGTATCCATTTTTCGTAATCCTGCGCTCCTTGTCGACTGCACAGTTCTTGTAATCGACGTTTCTCATCAGTATTTGTCGTGTAGTCTACCAACATTCTTAGTAATGCCTAGAAAAGAACAGTTTTTATACTAGTAATAGTTTCAGTGTTATTGAATGTAAAATATAGGAAAAAAGATATATTCGCTGGATTTTATTTTCACTGAATCATTTCTTCAGTGAAAATAGCGAAAATAAAGTATTTTACAGTACACTTGGCTCATCACAAATGTATTAAAATTAGCAAAATTGTTTAAATTGTTTCTGTTTTACACTCAGTTTGACTGGGTTAACCTTTTCACCACCCGACTTCCTTGCCCAAAATTGTCTGCATTTTCTTTCATATTTCCTTCAATATTTCTGGAAATTAACCCTAATTTTGAAGCCAACAGACAAAATTTGATTAAACTTTCAGTTTTTACTCAAAAAATGTGGCCATTTTTGTCCTAATCTTCTGAAGGAATGTGCAGACTATAAAGAGAACTAGTTTGTGAATTCAAATTTTGTAGTTAGTGGTAATGTCACCAATGTAAACTAAAACAGTATTAATAAAATTGTTTAGCGTACACTCAAAATTGTATAAACAAACAATTTACTGTAAAAAATGTCTTTACAGCTAACATGTTAATTTAGTTAATCAGTAATTTAGCTAATCAGTAATTTAGCTAATCTGTAATTTAGCTAATCTGTAATTTAGCTAATCTGTAATTTAGCTAATCTGTAATTTAGCTAATCTGTAATTTAGCTAATCAGTAATTTAGCTAATCAGTAATTTAGCTAATCTGTAATTTAGCTAATCCAAGATATCATTAATTTGAAATAAAGTATATTCTCACAGTGAGATTGTGGGCAGCTACCGATGAAATAAGATTCTGTTAATTTCGCTAAAATGATTAATTCCGTTGATTCGCTAAAATGGAAGGTAGTTATTTCCATGGCGATGTGACACCCATTGCCAATCAACATCTTGTATCTGTCATTCTAAATCAATTCAAATGAAAATCTGTTCATACCTTTTTAGGTGTGTTTCTTATATCCAAACAGGTCAATATAGCATGACGTATTGAACATCCTGCAGGTATATATTCTGGTAATAATGCCCTCTTCTTTTTGGTGTCCTTTAAAACATGTAATGTGATTGGTTTATCAGCTTCGTCAAGAATTGACAGTCTTCTAATAAGGAAGTCCACCTCCTCTTCCATATTTGGGCATACAATCCCAATAGAGTCACCTGGTTGGTAAGAAAGAATTGTCCCCTGAAAATATAGAAACAACATTTGTAAAACAAGATTCTAAAAAGTTGGTTATTCCTAAAAACAAAAGAATTTGTCGATGCCAAAATGTGCTTAGTTAGGAACACTTGAACAGAAAGACAGACAACAACATGGACAGAAACACATGCAGACAGACGGACAGGCAGGCAGACATACACACGGACAGTGCAATGATAATTGCTCCTGTTCAATTCACTTTTACTTACTGTAATATCCAATTTAATTCTCAAACATGTCTTCAGTGCATCACTACTTGTCAATCTCTCAGCAGACATTATGGTTGCCATGACTACCTCTGAATTGCATGATGGGAAGTTTGCACCTCCTTGTAAGGGTATTGTTGATACATCCTACAAAAATGAATTCATGTCAAAGTTCAGAATTCATCTACAAGAACAAAATTAACAAGTATGGTAGCAAGCTGCTGATTAGGTCAAATCAGCATGGGGTGTATTAAAATAGTCCTTGCTTATTTTTTAGAACTTATTTTTCAACTTGAAACCTTCTTACCTTTGCACCCACCCATTTGAAACCTGTGCACTACATATGGTAGAATGAAATATTTCAGAAAATATTTTCTTGATCCAAAGAAAACTTCAAATGCATGTTTTATTCCAAAGCATAATTTAATAAAAGCTGAACATAACCACTGCTGTTGTAATATTGAATAATCTTAAAACAAACTTCAATGCGGCCTTAATTTATGGTTGTGTATATTCTAAACTGTATTCGAAATAATATTGCAGCGGTTTAATTTTGTTTTAATTATAACTGTAGCTTGGATAGACATTTGAAGTGCTTGCAATTAAACACCATGGAGGCCATTCATGGAGGGGAATAAATAACGAACAAGCATATTTAACATCTGGGTACTTTTCAAAGATACGTAAAAATATGCCGGTAAAAATTGTGTTTCATTTCATAATAATCATGATTGGTACGGTAGTTTGGTTTGTGATTTTATGAGAAAACTTGCATTAATTTCAGAGTGCATAGCGAACGTACACAACGTGGTTCGCATGCTTTCTATTCTGTCATTTACTCAGGATGAACCCCGATGTTGCAATACTGGAGTAATCCATATTTCTTTGAGTAGTAGCTTTCGAAAAGCCAAAAATGTGATCGTTAAGTCATGTACCAGGTTATTGGGCATGGTTTACTTTGAGGCTATCATGAAAGGCCTAGGGTGTGAACGATGTGACCTGTTAGCGACCGTGAACGTGTTTTTTTCATCGCAATCAGTGCTACAGATCACATTTTAACATTGTGGTAATTCACTTCCGCACTGCAATAAAAAAAATCATCGTCAATAATCGGAAAATTTCGTCATTACGATACATTATTTTGATTGGTTAAGGAAAGCCAAGACCTGGTAGGTCAAAGGAAGTTGTTTCAGGTCAAATCATGCTGAAAAACTTCATGGTGAAAATTGCTTAGTGTCAAGAGTTTGCCTGTAATTGATAACGAAGATTATGATAAATGCTTTTGACTGTTTTCCCACAGACCCTACCAATTATTACATTAAATTCAGATGGTTTGTAAATCGAATTGTAATAAAATATGTTTTTTTATGAACATGTTTGTTTCTTCATTGTAAAAATCTCAATCAATGACACATTTTTTCAAAAAGAAGTATTATTTTACCGAGCCTGGCGTGGTGAACGAATATTTTTTTTTTCGATCATTTTTCTGTGTCACTGCATCATTTTGTAATTTTCCTTTGGACAAGAAGCGAGAACTTTTTTTGGATTAGTTACAAAATATTGAATACAAAAATTGTTGGCATTATTATCAATTTATATTTTGTTTGGTTCAAAATAAAGTCTGCAAGCTAAAGAATAGCCTGACATAAAGACGAGAGTTGTGTCCTCACCGGCCGAACGTATGTCACATTGTCAAGATCAATACTGCGAATTTGCAAAGTTCATGCCTTCTTGCAATGAGTTTCAATGAATATTCATTAAATCAAAACCGTGTTTGCATTGTCGGCAAAAATCACAAACAAGATGATAAACATTAGGCGAAATTTTGCCAGCACCTTATCACACATTATGTCAACAAATAAATAAACTCTGCCGTGAATGGTTACTCATTGATGGCTGTCACTATCTGACGTTACTACAATTTGATTGGTACAGACAAAAAATCCTTGGGGGAAGTGAAAACTACATCGTTCTATCAGGTAGGTTGGGTTTAGAGCACCGTTGAGGGCGCAAATCGTGCTACCTTGTCAGGCTAGCTAAAAAACAATTGAGCTTAGACGGAAAATGGCCGCCAAGACATTGAGATTAAGAAAGTCACAAAACTTATTTGTTATCCCTAAATGGTGTTCCATTTTCTAACGTTGATGCGTTTGCTGTTTTTGTAGCCATGGAAACTATGGTATTGGGAATAGTGGAACACGATTCAGAGAGATAAAAACAAGTCCTGTGGCCATCTCGCTCTTGCCGATATTTCAGCGGCCATTTTCAAATAAGGTTTATTCTAGTGTCGATAAAACTGGTTAAATTACTTACTAGTGCTGCATCTGAAATGTACTGAATGCCTATATATGGATGTGGAGATGGAGGTAGGGTCAGACCACTCTCAGATAGGGGTGGTGTGGATACTTTTAGAGATGGGATCGGTGTCTCTGCTTGGCTCACATCTGAATCATCCCCTCTGTTTACAGTATCTGTCTTTTTATCGTCAACAGCTGATTCATATTTCTCATTGGCTTCCTGTAAATTTTGAATTTCTATTGATGCTTTTGACTGATTATTGAGAGTTTCCTGATTTGTTTTATGAGAGGAGGTCTGTGATTGGTCAACTGACTGATCATTTACAGTTTCCTCATTGGTTGTATTAGATGAAATCCCTGATTGGTTAACTGACTGATCATTCAAAAGGTTCTGATTGACTGTGTTGCTATTTGATATTTCCTTATTTGGAATAATTGCGTCAATCTCAGTCTCATTTCTTTTAGTTCTTTCTGTTTCAGAAACTTCAATTAAACTGTCAGTTTGTTCATTTTCAACCAATTTAATATTTTCCAGTTCCTTTGAAAGGTTTTCAGTTTGTACATCATCATGGTTACTATGATCCATCTTCAATTCTTGTCTCAATGCCTTCCACAGTCCCTCTATCCATGGTTCAACCACTATTTCTAACCTGAAAAAAAAAGTAAAGTTGTAACAACTTGATGTTCATTTGTTTGCTATTTAATGTTTTTTTCTTAATGCATCATGTGTGTTGAACCTTTTCACAACCAGATTTTCTCGTCCAAATTTTTTCTTATATTCTTTGATATTTCTGAAAGTGAACACATATTTAGGAGCCAACAGATAAAATTTGAGTTAATTTTCAGTTTTTACTCAAAAAATTTGGCTATATTTGTCCCAATCTTCTAGAGGAAAGGGCAGACTATGAACAGGCCTATTGTGTGAATTTTTGATGAAAAGAGGGAACTGGTGGTGAAAAGGTCTTGGAATAAATCTTCAGTCTGCGTGTTATGCATTTTTCATGATCTACTGTAAAATACTATAAGTTTATTACGAAGATACCTCAAAGTATGCACGAAGATAGTACAGTGGCATCGACCGATGTGCAGCGAAGGTCGATGCGACAGCGTACTGTCTGAGTGCATACTTTGAGGTATCTTTGTAATAACCTTATTATTATACATCTTTTCCTTCCAAGGATATATCATGGGAATGCCGAAATCCAAAAAGTTTAGAACAGAATCAGCGAACTTCTTTGTATGGAGTCCGGTCAAATCCTGGTAGCAGCCATGTTTGTTTTTATTATTAGAGAACGCTTACGCACGTAATTATTCCATATTTGGAATTTGCATTTCCTAATATGGTAGTATGAAAATACCCCGTAAAATACCACAAAATTACGGTACGCTGTAACTTATGGCGTTACGGTGACAGATGTATAATAATTTATTTTAGCTAGGATTAATTTTCGCTAAAAAGACTTTTTGGGTGTTTTGTATGGAATTTATTTTCACAGATTTTTGACGAGTTGAATGTTGCTGGATTTTAATTTCACTGAATCATTCCTTCAGAGAAAATTAATTCAAAATGAAAATAAAGTATTTTACAGTAGATCATTAGCTGTTGCGTACAGTAAAACACTTTGCAGCATTGCTTAAACTGTTTTGGCTTTATTCTCAGCGTTAAAGGCCTTTGCAGCATGCCATTGGCACAAGAAGTGGATAATACAATTCATAATTCCAACTGACTGTCAGCTAACGTTGCATTCCAATTTGCGAATCTGAGAGGTACCATCCCCTGGCCTAGATGTACACTATGAAATAATTGTAGATGGATTATGGGTAATCAAGTACAAATATGAATTCTCTGAAATTAAGTTAAACAATATACACTATACTCACTAAGTTAGGGGGCCTTGTTTGTCCTTGAAGTGTTGTTACACAAAGTACTGTAAAATGACTAATTTTCACTGGGTTTAAATTTCACTGATTTACCATTTCAGGCATATTCAGTAGGTTTTAAATTCACGGTTTCGTCATTTAGATAATGTGTTCTACGCTAAATTTTACATATTCACTGTGTTTTAATTTAGCGCATTTTTCCAGTCAGCGAAATAAGCTAAATTAAAACCCAGTGAATAATTACCCCCTTTACAGTATATTGTAGGTATGTTTGTCTGATGGATGAGAACCCCCAGTATTCCCAAAATGAAATGAGCGAGAAAGACAAGACAAGATTTATACATTAAAAATATTTTTTTACTAACATAGCTTTATCTGAACATATTTTAGCTTGATCAACAAATATCATGTACACGTATTTGCAAAGAGAGGAGGCAATCTTAAGGGCAAGAAAAAAAATTCTCTGTTTCTCGTTTCATGAGGCATTTTTTTTTTTGAATACTGAGCTAAAATGGGGGAAATTTGAGACAAGTGCGAGTACAAGTGCATTTTGGAGTGCTTTAGAAGGAAAAAAAACGTCCGAGGCACATAGTTTGAAATGATCCACACGTAAACGAGAAACAGAGATATTTTTCTTATCAGCCTTAAGTTTCTTGTCTTTGAATTTTAGAAGTTCACAGTATATTTGACAAAATGCATTCAGAGCTAAAAAGAAACATACAATCCATTATCATTAACTAAGTGAATGTTATTTTCATATCTCTTTTTGGAGCAGCGGTTTAAGTGTACTTACCCAACAGCATCATCAGCAAAGCCTGATGGGTAAAATCTTTGACCCCCTAAGTCGTTCAATCTTTTATCAAAATTCTTCCCATTATTGCAGAAGTTTGAATAGTTACTATCTCCGAGACCTGAAAAATAAAAAAACATAAAATGTCAGTTCTGGTCTTTGAAAAAAAACAAACACAATGCCTTAGATATCATGAATAACTGAATAAAGTAAATATGTAATTGCATAAATGAAAAGGAATAAGATTCATTCATATGGAGTTCACCTCGTCTAGATATTTTAATATAATGTGAGTTCAGGAAAAGACATAAAAATAAGACAAGTTTGTGAATACAAATTTACTTAAAATCAGAAAGAACTGACATTTTAAGTTATTAATAATACTATATTACTAACATTTTATTGTTGTCTACCAATGGAAACTATAAGGATGCAATAAATTATTATTATAATCATTATTTTTATTGTTATTATTATCAGGTTTTTTCTATAAGAAATGAACAAGAGGGAGCACACACAGGCGGATCGACCTGGAAACGCCATAAGGTTTCTGCGCGGCTCCAGAAATATAACATAATTGAACTCTGGTGACCTTGCCCTTTGTTATATAATGTAATTCCTATTATCATAGTTTGTTTCAATATAAATATGCATTGTCATAATTAATTTTGAATACAAACAAGTTTTGGGGTTGAAACAACAGTGGGGAATCAGTCTACCGAATGTCCTTAAAAGATGTAAATATCTTACAAAAACATTGGTGCCTTATTTGTTTAATTATTTTAAGGGACATAATTTCCAGCTTTATTCAAAGTAATTCAGATATTTTAGTATAAAAACAAATGTCTCATTGCAAAAAAAAAGTGCTGCATTTAGATGTGAATAGATTCATAAAACATGCAAGATAACAGAAAATTTTAGCTGGCTTTAGTCCAAGTATTTTGTACAGGTGTCTGTCAAAAATTAATGATTCACTGAGACAAATGTGAACTGCCTCATTGTGTGACTACTGTATTATCAGTGTTCTCCCCAGGCCTCTGAAGCGTCACGGTACCATGACGCTTGGACACTCGGCCGTGATGCTTGCCCTTTGTCCGTGACGCTTGGACACTCGCCCGTTATGCTTATTGCTTTGTTTACAAGTGTCAGTCTCGTCTTGCACTAATTTAAAACAATAACATGTATTGATCGAAAGGTAATCCCGCTTTTGTTAGCCATACAAAGACAGTGATAAAAACAGAAGTCTGCAAGAAGTTGCGAAGTCTTCCAAGGGTGCAGAGCCTCCAAATCCAAAAAAAAATAATAGAGTAGCAATAATTTGCCCATTGCACGCAACGGCAATAATGTGACAAAACACGGACAAAACAAGTCACGGCGCACGTCGGGAAGATCAACCATGATTTGCTGCATGATTTTTTGTCACTCAATCGCCGGTGACATTAATTACCCCAAAATTAAAAAAACAAGTGAAATTAAGTCGCATTGGAAAGAAAAGTGTAAATAATTCAACAGCAGACGAGGCGGGTTAAAAAAAAACCCAACCCTGCATTCTGAAAATACCCCATTCATAGGGTGCCTTAGTAGCGAAGAACACCGCCTTAAGGCGACATAATGCACGTTGCAACCTTGTGACCGAAGCATGCTGGGTTACAGGGGGGTTCTGATCGAGGTAACAAAGATGGCGGCGCCGAGTGCATGTTTTTTCCGCGATGTTTAAAAACAACATCACGTTGGCGATTTTGATTTATTGCCTATGATAATAGTCAATGAACCGTTTTAATAAACAATTTGTGTATTTTACACCAAAAAGTCAAATACTGATGATCGCAATAGCAGCGGTGAATACCTGTCCAACGCAATGCCGTCAGCTGACAATGTTACGATGATCATGGCGTTACTCACAAGGTATATTGCAATGAAAAATCGCCGACTATTAGTGCCGAACTGCCATTGTAGAATTTTTTTTAAATTATTGATTTATTAATTTCAACATATTTCGATATCTCGCTGACTTTATAAATTTAACCAAAAAACATAAAATACAATGCAGTAAAATGATATAAAATTCATCAGATATAAAAATATCTTGTCTTTAATTAATTGTAGATTGAAAAACTGATTATTATGCAAATATAATTATGCAAATTAGATGTATTGTTATGCAAATTGACCATGGTGCTCGACATGAAGTCTGGGGAGAACACTGTGTATTATATGAAAAGTGAAAAAAAAACACCCTCTATGAATAGCTATCATGTTGCAAGCTCTGCTTTGTATGCAAATCAACTTAAATAGTTAGTTGGTGTCCAGTGGAGGGAGAAGTCAACAGTACTGTTGCCTCCTGAGAATCTACATCTTCAAATACTGCAATCTTTGAAGTGCGTTTTTAAACTAGTATTATAAAAACTCTATCATTCTGTTCTAATAGCTGAAACATATTCCTGTGAGTTTTCATTTGTCGAATGAACTGTTTGTCAAATACAGAATACATATATTTTAGAATAATTTTCTTTTTAAAATGTGGATGAAATGTTTTGCTTTTAATGTATTTTTTATTTATTGTTTTTGATTTGATAACTTTGAACTAAACATATTTTCTATTAGCTTCAGATCTTGATCAAAGTTAGGCACCCAGTTCATAGGAGTGCTTATATTGATTTTCTGACATCTTGTTTTCTGTAAAGATTTTATTAGTAGGTTTGCAAATGTGTATCAGACTGTGCAATCTCTCCATGAGTTGGTTTTGAAACCCAGTATGGGATTCTGAGATACAATACCAAGGATATTATTACAAGATAAATCATTTGCTTCATTGAACACATACAACAATGCATATTTCAACTGAGATCAGTGACCTTTGATGTGTATCACCAGTGATCAGTCAAGTAGAAACAGTCAAAA